TATTTTATTTTATTTCATTTTATTTTATTTCATTTTATTGATTTCCTTATTTTATTTCATTCCTTCCTCCCTTTTTCTCGCCGTCTTTTCCCTCCCGCTTCTGATCGGTTGAATTCGATGGGATTTTGGGACTATTCCTTCATGGCCAAGATTTCTATCCTCTCCTTCCCATGAGCACGAATATAAATAAAAAAATGCAACTATAAATATAAATATAAATATAAAAGGAGATACATTCTCATAACGTTTTGATCCCGTCCTTCCAACAAGCGAGTATATAAAAATAAAAATATAAATATAAATATAGAGGAAAGGATATAGATTGCCGTAACATTTCTATCCTGTCCTTCCGACAGGCACTTATATAAATATACATTAAATAAAAATATAGAAAATATAAATGACAGGATATAAATTTCTATCCCGTCCTTCTGACAAGCATTTATACATAAAAATAAAAATAAAAAATAAATAAAAATAAAAATAAAAATATAAATATAAATATAAATAAATATAAATATAAATATAAATATAAATATAAATATAAATATAAATATAAATAAACAGGATACAAATTCTCCTTCGAACAAGAGCTTATAAAAACTGGATATAAATAGTACTTATCATAATTTAATCATTATTATTGATTGTATTCCGAATGGCCTGATGGAAATAGTTCTTATCATAATTTAATCATTATTATTGATTGTATTCCGAATGATGAGATATAAATAGTACTTATCATAATTTATTCACTATCATGGATTCCGAATGACAATATAAATAGTACTTATCATAATATATTCATTATTATTGATTGTATTCCAAATTGATTGTATTATTGATTGTATTCCAAATTGTATCCCAAATTCCAAATTAATCCATTATTACTGATTGAGAATGGGATATAAATAGCACCATAATCTATTGATTAATATTGATTTTATTCCGAATGGCTGGATATAAATAGCACAAAATAATCTATTCATTATCATTGATTTTATTCCGAATGGCCGGATATAAATAGCACTTATCATAATCTATTATCATTGATTTTATTCCAAATGATGAGATATAAAAAGTAATTATCATAATATATTCACTATCATTGATTCCGAATGACAATACAAATAGTACTTATCATAATTTATTCATTATTATTGATTGTATTCCGAATGGCCAGATATAAATACTACTAATAATCTATTCATTATTACTGATAATAATGATGGGATATAAATAGCACAATAATCTATTCATTATTATTGATTCTATTCCGAATGGCCAGATGAAAATACTACTAATAATCTATTCATTATTACTGATAATCATGATGGGATATAAATAGCTCTTATCATAATATATTCATTATTATTGACTGTATTCCGAATGGCCGACTATAAAAAGTACTTATCATAATATATTCATTATTATTGACTGTATTCCGAATGGCCGGATATAAATAGCTCCTAATATATTCATTATTATTGACTGTATTCCGAATGGCCAGATATAAATAGTACTTATCATAATATATTCATTATTATTGACTGTATTCCGAATGGCTGGATATAAATAGCAATTATCATAATAATTATTATTGACTGTATTCCGAATGGCCGGATATAAATAGCTCTTATCATAATATATTATTCCAAATGACCGGATATAAATGGCAATTAACATAATATATTCATTATTATTTGCTGTATTCCGAATGGCCGGATATAAATAGCTCTTATCGTAATATATTCAGTATTATTTACTGTATTCCGAATGGCCGGATATAAATAGCTCTTAGCATAATATATTCATTAGTATTCCGAATGGCCGGATTTAAATAGCACTTATCCTAATCTATTATCATTGATTTTATTCCAAATAATGGGATATAAATAGTAATTATCATAATATATTCATTACTCCTGATTATATTTTTTTTATTGCTCTGGTTCTATATTTAACCCAACGAGACGTTTGGAGAAAGTTTTATTAAAGTTTATCATTCAAAACAATTTGAACATGGAAATTAAATAGCCTTTGCATATTCAAATGTGAAAATTACAAAGCTTTGAAATATTCGATAGCCTTTAAATTGGAAAAATTAGATTTTTCCATACATTAACCCCGATCGAAATCTTGCCCCGCGGAAATGGGGGGATAGAGGAATCTATACGTCCGGGGGCTTTGGGGATCCCCGAGCCTATCTGCCGCTGCTGGGGAGCTTTTGGAGGGGACGGGGAAGGGAAAGGGGTCAACGGGGGATGATGGGACCCGTCCGGGCGGGGGCAGATGGGCCCCCGAGCCTACCTTTCTCATATTTGAGATACAGGATCGAGACCACGAAGTAGCCCAGGTCGAAGATGGGGAAGATGGGTAGGCGGGAGAAGGCGACGGCCAGGTCGGCCACGTCCAGGGCGCCCACCAAGTCCATGATCCACAGCCGGGAGGAGGAGGAGGAGGGCGGCCGGTCGCAGCCCCGATCGCGGCCGCGGGGACGCGCGCAGCTGTTCGCGCCCCCCCGCGCGGGGGAGGAGAGGGGAGGGGGGAGGGGCGCCCCCCTGAGCGTGTGCAGAGTGCAGCCCCGCCTCCTCCCGCGGGGGGCTTGCCCAGCCGGGCGCCCGCGGGCGCCGATCCGGAGTGGATCCGGCGCGGGGCGGGAGTCCAAGCGGGGCAGAGTGGCGGAGGGGCCTGCGCGGGGGGGGGAGGGTCCGACGCGCCCCCCCCGCCGCCCCAGGGGACGCGCCCACCCCCCGGCCCCGCCGGGCGACCCGGATCCCCCCTTCCCACGTGCGCCAGAAACCCTCCTTTTAGGGCAGAAAGAAGGCAAGCGTGAGGGCAGCTGCGTCGCCGCCGCCGGCGCGCATGCGCGGGAGGGCGGTGGAGGCGGCAGCCACCGGCGCGCGTACGCAGGAGGGCGTCTGCCTCGGCCGCCGCCGGCGCGCGTGCGCGGGAGGGCAGCTGCGCGCGCAGTGGCCGGCGGCCCTGCCGCCGGCATCTCCCCCGCCCGCGGATTGGCCGCCCGGCCCCGCGCGTCATTTCCGCTTGGGGCCGGAAGCGGGAAGTGGCAGGATGTTGGGCGACTTGCTGCTCTTTGGGTACGTCCCGCCGGGCGGGCGGTTGCTAAGCGACGCGTTGCGGGGGGGGAGGAGAGGGGAGGGGGTGCCCGGGAAGGTGGCCCAGACCCGTGTCGGGAGTTCCCACGTTGCCCCCCCCTTGAAACCTGGCCCCGTGCACGCTTCGAAGCTCACGGAACGGGGAGCTGGGGCCCCATGCTCCAGCCGGGGACTACACCCCCCATCGTCCCGGGCACGCGATCTGGGCGGTGGGCCGCAGGGGGAGCGCGACACGTGTCGCGCCTCCCCACGTTACCGGTTGGAACCCGGGTCCCGGCCCTGTGCGCGCGTGTTCGAATCGCGCGGCCGCCTTCTCCCCCTGCGCTGGGCCCGTGGCCCCATGCTCCAGCCGGGGACTACACCCCCTATCATCCTTGGCCGCCTGGCCCATCATCCCGGGCACGGGCAGGAGGCGGAATTTGGGGGAGTGGGGGAAATCCAGAGACTTTTTAGTCATTGGACCCCATAGAGGAACTTTAATTAAACAGATACGGAAAGAAATGGTTGAAATAAAATGGTTTAAATAAATACAGAAATAAAGTTGAAATAAATATATGCGGAAATAAACGGTTTGAATGAATCAATAGGGAAATCTAATGGTTTAAATTAATACAAAAATAAGCGGTTTAAATGCATAAATGCGGAAATAAGCGGCTTAAATGAATAAATGCAGAAATCGACGGTCTATATAAATGCAGAAATAAGCGGCTTAAATGAAAAAACACGGAAATAAGCGGTTTAAATGAATAAATGCGGAAATAAGCGGTCTATATAAATGCAGAAATAAGCGGTTTAAATGAATAAATGCGGAAATAAGTGGCTTAAATGAATAAATGTGGAAATAAGCGGTCCATATAAATGCAGAAATAAGCGGTTTAAATGAATGCAGAAATAAGCCGTTTAAATGAATGCAGAAATAAGTGGCTTAAATGAGTAAATGCGGAAATAAGCGGTTTAAATGAATGCAGAAATAAGCAGTTTAAATGAATAAATGCAGAAGTCGACGGTCGATATAAATGCAGAAATAAGCGGCTTAAATGAAAAAATGCAGCAATCGACGGTCGATATAAATGCGGAAATAAGCAGCTTAAAAGAAAAAATGCGGAAACAAGTGATTTAAATGAAAAAATGCAGAAATCGACTGTCTATATAAATGCAGGAATAAGCGGTTTAAATGAATAAATGCGGAAATAAGCGGTTTAAAAGAATGCAGAAATAAGCGGTTTAAATGAAAAAATGCAGAAATCGACGGTCGATATAAATGCAGAAATAAGCGGCTTAAATGCAAAAACGCGGAAATAAGCGGTTTCAATGCATAAATGTGGAAATAAGCGGTTTAAATGAATAAATGCAGAAATCGACGGTCTATATAAGTGCAGAAATAAGCGGCTTAACTGAAAAAACGCGGAAGTAAGCGGTTTAAATGAATAAATGTGGAAATAAGCGGTTTAAATGAATAAATGTGGAAATAAGCAGTTTAAATGAAGAAATGCAGAAATAAGCGGTTTAAATGAATGTAGAAATAAGCAGTTTAAATGAATAAATGCAGAAATCGACGGTCTATATCAATGCAGAAATAAGCGGTTTAAATGAAGAAATGCGGAAATAAGCGGCTTAAATGCATAAATGCGGAAATAAGCGGTTTAAATGAATGCGGAAAGAAGCGGCTTAAACGCATAAATGTGGAAATAAGCAGTTTAAATGAATGCGGAAATAAGCGCTTTAAATGAAAAAACGTGGAAATAAGCGGTTTAAATGAAGAAATGCGGAAAGAAGCGGTTTCAATGAATCCAGGAGCAAACCCGCCGGCCGGACTCTCACTTCCCGTCTTTTTCCCGCTTTTCCCCCCAGGACGCTGCTGGTCAACGCGGGGGCGGTGCTGAACTTCCGGCTGTGAGTCCTTTCCAGGATCTGGAACGGTGTCCGCGGGAGGGGGCAGGAGGGCCCCTCGGGCTCGGGAGTCGGGGAGTGTGGGTCTCGGGGTGATCGGAGAGGTGTTGGAAGAAACATGGAGGCCATCAAGTCCGACCGGGGATGATGGGATCGTGGAATAGTGGAGCTGGAAGGACATCATGTCTGACCGTGGATGATGGGATCATGGAATAGTGGAGCTGGAAGGGCATCACGTCCAACCGTGGATGATAGGATCAGGGAATAGTGGAGCTGGAAGGGCATCACGTCCAACCGTGGATGATGGGATCATGGAATAGTGGAGCTGGAAGGGCATCACGTCCAACAGTGGATGATGGGATCGTGGAATAGTGGAGTTGGAAGGGGCTGGAAGGCCATCAGGTCCAACCATGGATGATGGGATCATGGAATAGTGGAGTTGGAAGGGGCTGGAAGGGCATCACGTCTGACCGTGGATGATAGGATCATGGAATAGTGGAGCTGGAAGGGCATCACGTCCAACCGTGGATGATAGGATCGTGGAATAGTGGAGTTGGAAGGGGCTGGAAGGGCATCAAGTCCAACCGTGGATGATAGGATCATGGGACAGTGGAGTTGGAAGGGGGTTGAAGGCCATCAAGTCCAACCGTGGATGATGGGATCATGGAATAGTGGAGTTGGAAGGGGCTGGAAGGCCATCAGGTCCAACCGTGGATGATGGGATCTTGGAATACTGGAGTTGGAAGGGAGATGGAGACCCCCGTGTCTTTTTCCCCCCCAGAAAGAAGGAGAGTCACGGCTTTGGCCCGGAGGCGAGAGGACCGTCCACAGGTGAGGCCCCGGCCAGGGGTGGGGTGTCCCCAGCCAGGGGTGGGGTGTCCCCGTCGGCCCGTGGGGAGACGCTGGGGTCCTTCGACGGGGTGGCGGGAGCCTTCGGGAGGTCCGGGGTGGGAGGGCTGCCCGGAAATCGGAGGAAGAGGAACAGAGCGGGGCAGGAGGGGGCTGTGGGTCATCTAGTCTGACCCCGGCTCTGCTTAGGGGAACACAGAAAGAAGGCGAGGCAGAAGGGGCCTCTGGGACATCTAGTCTGACCCCGGCTCTGCCCAGAGAAACATAGAAACCGAGAGAGGCAGAAGGGGCCTGTGGGTCATCTAGTCTGACCCCGGCTCTGCTCAGAGGAACATAGAAACCGAGAGAGGCAGAAGGGGTCTGTGGGTCATCTAGTCTGACTCGGCTCTGCTCAGGGGAACATAGAAAGAGACCTGGGCAGAAGGGATCGGTGGGTCATCTAGTCTGACCCCGGCTCTGCTCACGGGAACATAGAAAGAGAGCTGGGCAGAAGGGACCTGTGGGTCATCTAGTCTGACCCCAGCTCTGCCAAGAGAAACAGAGAAACTGAGCGAGGCAGAAGGGGCCTCCAAGGTCATCTAGCCTGACCCCGGCCCCGCTCCCAGAAACAGCGCGCGGCAGAAGGGGCCTCTCTTCTCTTTCCAGGCGACAACATCCGGGAATTCCTGCTGAGCCTCCGCTACTTCCGCATCTTCATCGCCCTCTGGAACATCTTCATGATGTTCTGCATGATCGTGTGAGTATTTATCTGGCCGGGGCGACTTCTTTTATATTTTATATTTTATAAGTTTTATTTATTTTATTTATTTAGTTGATTTTTTTTATTTTATATTGTTAATTTTAATTTTATATTGTTATTTTTGTATTTTATTGTGTTGTAAGCCGCCCCGAGGCTTCGGCAAGGGGCGGCATAGAAATGTAATAATGATGATGATGATGATGATCCGGCGGGACCCCCCCCGGTTTCCGCCCATCTTCGATCTCCGAACAAAATCCATAAATTCCACTTTTTCCCGGTTTTTTTCTAGGCTCTTCGGCTCCTGAGCGACCCGAGGCGACGCTTCCAGCCGGAAATCGCCGCCTACGATGCAGGAAAATTTCATTTCCCGTGTTCCGTTTTCTTGTTTTTATGAGCATTAAAGGAAGATTTCCACCTCTTGGGATCGTTGGAAACGTGTCTTTCCTCCCTCGGAAGGCCGTGGTGTCGATAGGCGGCCCGGAAATATATTTTTAATATATATTTTAATATATATATATTTAATTTATATTTTTAATATATAGTTTAATCTATATATTTAATTTATATATTTTATATTTTTATATATATTTAATTTATGTTTATATATATTTAATTTATATATAACATATATTTTAATATAATTAATTTATATTTTAATATATATTTTAATATATATATTTAATTTATATTTTAATATATTTTAATTTATATTTTAATTTTTATTTTTAATTTATATTTTTTATTTTTATTTTTAATATATATTTTCAATTTAAATTTTTTATTTTTATTTTTAATTTGTATTTTTAATTTGTATTTTTAATTTATATTATTATATTTTAAATATATGTTTTATATATATTTATTTGATTTTTTCCACAAAAAAATATTCATATCCCGTCCCGTGCGAAAAGAAAGATCCCGCAGCCGTGGGGCCAACGCAGAGAAGGTCCTGCTTTGGGGTCGGACTTGTCTATCTCCTTTCGAAGGGCGTTGGGACAGGAAAACTTTAAATAATACAGATATTTAAGGTTTGTTCCTTGTAAAGCGTCCAGGGATTTTTTGAGTCCTGGATGGCATAGGAAAACTTTAAATAATACAGATATTTAAGCTTTGTTCCTTGGAAAGCGTCCAGGGATTTTTGGAGTCCTGGATGGCATAGGAAAACTTGAAATAATACAGATATTTCAGGTTTATTTATTTATTAAAACATTTTTATGCCGCCCCATTCGCCGAAGCCTCGGGGCGGCTTACAAATTTAAGTTAAAAAATAGTTATAACATTAAATTAAAAATACAAACCTAAGTTAAAATGCAAAAAAGAACAATATAAAATAATATATATATATTGCAAGGTTTGTTCCTTGCAAGCCGTCTGGAGAATTTTTGAGTCACGGACGGCACAGAAAAACTTTAAAAAATACAGAAATTTCAGGTTTCTTCCTTGTGAGCCGTCCAGAGACTTTCTTACTCGGGGACGGCATAGAAAAAGGTGAAATAAAATAAATAGAAAATTAATCGTATATATTAGTGATCGGGGGGAGTCACTTTCAGGCTTCTAAGAAATCGTTCCTTAGCTATACCTTGGTGGAAGGACGGGATAGAAGAGCTTCAAATAAAATAAATTAAAATAATTGAAATTTTAATTTATTTTATTTTATTTTTATAATAAAAATAAAAAAAATAAAATAAAAAAGGAATTCTTTCAGCTAAGCCTGCTTCATGGAATGGCCGTGCTTCCGTACTCTGGGAACTGGGACCCCCCATAAAATCCGAAATTATTCCTTCCGAAATTAAAGGTTCCTTCCCACCTTTTGAAAGAAATTTGATTTTTCAGGACTTACCGTTTGTTCTGCTTTTCTTTCTTCCTGGACGGGACCGCAGAAGATCAGGCATTCAGGCATCTCAAAAGCGGGAGGAAAAGCTCCGAAACGGCATATAAATGTTATAATAAATCATAATAAATAAATCAACGTTCTTAATTTTCCACAGTCAATTGATCTGCAATATTAATATTAATATTAGCATGGATTATAGGACATATATTGTAGTATAGGTGTTATATCATGTAATATCACAATGACACGATGACAAAATATTATACAATATTAATATCTATAATTACTAAAACTGATATTATATATTGATATCAGTTATAGTAATTATAGATATTAATATTAGAATATATAATATTAAATTATATATAATATTTTGTCATAATATATTGCCAATATGATTTATATCCTATATTTATTTATTTATTACTTATTAAAACATTTTTATGCTGCCCCATTCGCCGAAGCCTCGGGGCGGCTGACAACAATAATTTAAAAATAATTAAAATATGAAATTACAATACATATATTGTATATTTATTTGATTATAAATATATTTATATTAGGCATTTTTACATAAAAATGTTATTTATATATATATCGCTTTATTTTTAGTGATATAAAGAAATTACACACCCCAAAAAATAACCTAATATATAATATTCTAATTAAGATCTGCACACTGTTCTAATCCTACGTTATATAATTAATTATATCGATCATATCTCCGAATATCAAATTGTCATTCCGTTAATCTAATTAATTAACATACACAACCATCTCCACTGATTATATATACCGGCATTGCTGTGGCTTCAAATAAATATTCAGTCGGGCAAGATTCATATGCATATCTTGCATATTAATACTATATCATTATGTATCTATTATACTTTAAGTATGTACTGCATATTATTATTAATATGATTAATGATATATGTGAATGTGTATAAATGTATTTGCCTGTGTCTATATATGTGTGTGTGGGTACAAATATGGATGTATTAATGTGTGTCTGTATATGTGTGTGTCTATATATATATGTGTGTGTGTGTGTGTGTGTACATAAAAATATAGTGTGTATGTGCTTGTGTCTACATGTTTGTATATATTTGTATATGTTTGTGCGTGTATAAAAATATAGTGTGTGGTTTGTGTGTATGTGTCTATATGTTTGTATATATATTTGTATGTTTGTGTGTGTGTTTATAAAAATATAGTGTGTGTATAGTTTGTGTATATGTGTCTATATGTTTGTATATATTTGAATGTTTGTGTGTGTATAAAAATACTGTGTGTATAGTTTGTGTGTCTATATATATGTTTGTATATATTTGTATGTTTGTGTGTGTATGCATAGTTATGTGTATAGTTTGTCTGTGTCTATATATATGTTTGTATATATTTGTATACGTGTGTGTGTGCATATAGTATGTGTATAGTTTGCGTGTCTGTGTGTCTATATATGTTTGTATATATTTGTATACGTGTTTGTGTGTGTGCATATAGTATATGTATAGTTTGTGTGTCTGTGTCTATGTTTGTATATATTTGTATATGTGTTCGTGTGTGTGTGCATAAAAATATAGTATGTGTAGTTTGTGTATCTATATATATGTTTGTATATAGTTGTATATGTTTGTGTGTGTGCATAAAAATATAGTGTGTGTAATTTGTGTGTGTGTCTATGTGTGTCTGTCTATATATGTGTGAATATATTTATCTAAGTATTCGTCTGTGTGTGGGTGTGGGTGTGTTCATCCGTATGTGTGTGTATATATATATCGGGGTGTGTGTGTGTGTGTGTGTGTGGGTACATACACGTGTCTGTGTGTACAATTCTATCCACACCACACAACCTGTAATATGCGACCAATCAGTCCGCGAGCTCAGCTCTGCCCCCGGCCTTGCCAAAAGGGCGGGAAGCGCCGCGCCACCCCGCCCCGAGCGCTGCCCCGGCGTCCCCGCGGGTCAAAACAGCGACGCAGCCACACGTGCAATCCCGCACGCCGGCCAGCCGGGACGAGAGCTGCGCGCCTCCCGCCGCGCGGCCTTGGACTACAACTCTAGGCCTGCCCGGGCGGGGAGTGCCATGAGGGCACGCCGAGAGTTGTGGTCCCGCTTCCCGCCTTCGCCCTCGCGCGTGCGCAACGGGCCTGGCGCCGCGCGCGCCGGCTCGGCCCACGGCGCAGCCCCGCCTCCGCGGCCGCCCCGTTCCC